GACACAGGCCCAATCCTACAGATGGGTAATTTGATTTAAATCGCATCAACTTGAAATGCTCATTACCCTCCCTTTACTCCCTAGCGAGCTCACTTCATCCCGTCTATCTGTGGGTGATATACGGAACGGTCAAACTCAAATTTTTCATGCTTTTTCACAATCGCTTGTTCACTTCTGGCTGGTCCTTCTCAATATTCACCCACCAGTGACGATAGCGTCACAATTTCCGCCGTGAGCTCCCGGGTTTGCAACCCCATTACACTCCATGAGCAAAATGTGACCCCATTGTTCGAATAGTTTGAACAGACGGGTGACTCTGTTGCGAGGGTGTCTCGCAAGAATATTGTCCGACACTGGCTGGGAGGAGTACTCTATCTCACCTATTCGCTGAACCTAGCCCCATTTCAACACTATCTATTCATGCTTTTCAGCACACCCCTCACGAGAGAAAGAGCCCACTAATCATCTGGAACTCGAAAATGAGACCCAAACTTCGTGGCTAGCGTCCGCGTCTCCGAAATGAAGGCCAAATTTTAACAGTTCAAGAGTTTCCTTCAAACTAATAGATATTGTAAGTGTAACACAGCAGTTGCTACAGCTTTAGAGTGAAATGACTATATCCAGCTGTAAAGCAACGCGTTCCTACAGCGACAATTCTCGAACTTTTTCAACCACGCAACCCTGCATGCTGCTGTGCAGTCAGTGAGTTTCAGGCCTTCGACTACACTTCTAACTACCTCTTTTTTTTCTCGTTTCTGCCATTTCCCTAGCATTTTGCCCTTTGTATTTGAATGTAGATTTTATTTAAAAATTGACTTACTTTCGCTCTATTGAACGTTTGATTCGCAACTTGTTCAACAACTATAATGGAGTAATCCAACATTTGCCTTGTTAGAAATGAGTGCATATGGTTCAATAAGATGCGAAGATGAGATTCTCTGTCGCGGAACGGAATGATAAATGCGATCTATAAATAAAAATTTAGTGGTAGCGTTGGAAAAAAGCGGAAACTTCTTCTGCAAAACTGTCAAGATCAGAGTGTGATGTAGGACGGAACTGCAGAGGGCCCATAGCGTGACGTTGGTCGGGTCACATGAGCGAGACTATACTATGCGTCAACTGGAATGTTCGACTCACTGGAAAATTCCGATATTCATCATTTGGCCAGTACCTTGCTTTTGTATCGCGTACAAATCGTAGCAACATAACAAAAAAGTGGGAGAGATAAGAAAAAAAAAGAATTTCCAGAAACAGGAATTCTCTGGAGTGTGTATGTGATGTTCCCTACCCGCTACCTAATACGAAATGGGAACGAGAGGGTCGGATGACAATCTTTTAGCTGCATTCTGCTGTACCGGGTAAGAGGCGGACCCAACTACGCTCCCATAGAGGCGAGGCGTGGCGCGAAATCCGCTTATACAATTGGCTTCCTAAGATGCCCTCGATTTAAAATTTCCAAGCCAAATTTTTTCACAATCGTTGCGTAAGGTTTGGGTCACGACGAAGCAAGGATCTTCATTACCTGCGAAATTACATGAATGTTTCTGTGGTTGCTGCATTTGCTTTATGCATTTGCTTTACATGTACTTAGGCCTTATTTCTATTCTTCGCTTCACTTTGTATAAAGGTTGCACGAATTGTCCTCACGGTTCTTCGCAGTTATTTTTTTTACTTGATAACGGAAAGAAAACACATAAGAGAAAAGGCAAGCGAATTTGCAGTAGCGTTCTATCACTTCTTCGCCACTTTTCGACAGACTTCCTTCGTCGTGAAATGTCTCCTAGTGCTTATTCTAAGGAGATTTTCATGTTGTGAGGGTCGAATAGAAATGATCCATGCCAACCTTCACTGCAGGGGGGACCAAAGAACTTACTCGGCTCGTAGCCTGACAACCACGTGGGATGTTGTGACCGCCAGGCTCCAAGTATTTGTATTTTTCCTCCAGTCGTTCCAGTGGTATTTCTTCCAGAGAGACATTAATCCGGCCAACGGTATCGCTTGAGCTCACTGTGCACCGTGGATAGTTGTTGGTTCTGCTAGAGGGAGGCAGTGAATATGTGTCTGAAAAGGGCAATCTCAGGGACAGTGACCTCAAATATATTTGTGCAACAAATTACGGTCGGCCAGTTACTGTTGTGCGAAGCGCTTCATGCGCAAGGTCAGCAGTCCATTCGCTCTATTCGAACGGGGGGAAGGGCGCATTTTGGACACGAGCCGAGATAGGGGTCACAATCTCGAGGACCCGCAGTCGAAATCGCGGCGGTAGCGTCATTAGTCGGTGGTATGAAGGGCTAGGGAGGAACGCTCACAAAGAACATGAAATTGTTAAAAGCTCAAAATAATTAATATTTCAGGCTCGACCGTTTCGTCCTGAGGTGTTTCTCCATGTGAATTCACTATATAAAAAAATCTTTCTGCCTTCAGCAAACTTTAGGGAGAGCTCGCTTCGTTGCAACAGAGCGTGGTAGCAGTGTCCAAAATTGAGCAGGGTATAGCAAGAGGAAATAAAGTTACAATACCTTTGCAACTTTGAACCTAAAGGCGCACGCGTAGCGTATCTCAGAGCAAATCTTGTTTGTGCCAACGGCCTCAAACTTCACTCGTTACGCGGAGAGATAGTTTGGAACGAATATCGGTGTATTAGAAGCGAACAAAGCTTTAGCAATGAGCATACAACCCAGCATTCTTGTGAAACATTCGCAAGGCGAACTGCGGCCAAAAACAGCAGTTAACAAACAAAAACAAGTCAAAAATTCATTGCTAAAGCTTTCAGCCTCGCGGTCATTGCCGATATCGGCTAACCGGCTCAACACGTTATACGTGTGAGTGCTGAAAGCTATGGTACGTATACCATGAAAAGCTGAGTTGGAATGAAATGGTGCCCCGGTAGCGTAACTGGTAGCGCACTTGCCCGGAAAGCGAGAGGTGCGGGTTCTAGTCCCGCCTGGGGCGAAAGTTTTGTTCACAACCCAGCATTCTTGTGAAACATTCGCAAGGCGAACTGCGGCCAAAAACAGCAGTTAACAAACAAAAACAAGTCAAAAAATCATTGCGAATAGAGCGTTCTTCAGATAAAAGAAGCGATCATGAGACTTTTAATGCGGCTTGGAAAGGAGAAGAAACTCGAAGTTTCTGACACTTTTTACCGAAAAACTGTACTGAAACTTTCTTTTACTTTTTTTCTACCCAAAACTTGCATCTGGAAGAAGTGATGACTTTCAAAGCAGGAGGTGCAACTTCCTAGAAATTTGGACTTTTCACTAATAAGAAGACGCTCTCTTCGGCTTGTGATGCACCCTAGGTAGTTTTCTGGGAGCGGACGTTAAACACATTTCTTATCTATCTGAACGATTATAAAAAGTATGCTTTCAAAAAAGTTATGTCCTCTTCAACTTTTTTTTGCTTGCCGCCGCCTGAGTCCTCTTACCGCCTGGGTGATACTTCCGCCAGGGTGAATAACGGTCGAGGAATTCCTCGACCATGGCTCTGTACTGTGCGAGAGTAGTGCCGAGAGTGAATGTACGCGCGGAGAGCACAGACGGCTCGCGGTGGCGAGAGTGAATGTCCGCGCGAGACGTAACTGATCAGGCGAAAATCCTCGACGTGCCGTTGAGGAATCCTCGACAATTTTCACCCTGCCCTCCGCGCTTCTGGACTAACGCCGCAACGCAG